TGTGTGTGTGTGTGTGTGTGTGTGTGTGTGTGTGTGTGTGTGTGTGTGTTTAAAGTTTTGGAAGAAAACATAGGAAGAAATCTTCATAACTTGAAGTTAGGGAAAGAGTTCTTAGACAAGACACCAAGTGCACATAAAAGCAAAAATCCATTAATTAGACGTGATCAAAATAAAACAATATAGCAAAAGATACTGAAAAGATAGCTACAGACTGGGAGAGAATATTTGGAAACCACATATCCAACAAAGAAAGTATTTGACATATACAAAGAATTCTCAAAATCAATAGTTAGAGAACCATCCAAACAAAAATGAGTAAAACACTTGGACCCTCACCAAAGAGGACGCTCTATGTGGAGGACAGCAAGCCTATGAGAGACAATCAACACTGGTCATTAGGGAAATGCAAATCAAACCATAGTGAGGTAGTGAGGTGCCACTGGAAAGCAGTTTGACAGCTCTGTTATCACGTGGCCCAGCAGTCCCACAGCTATTTTCCCTGGAGAAAGGAAAGATTGTGTTCTCATGAAAACCTTTATACAAATGCTTATACCAACTCTATCCATAATCACCCAAATCTGGACACAACCATATGTCCTCCCATGGATAAAGGAGAAACCACCTGTGTCTCCCTGTGCAGGCAAACACCATTCCACAATCGAAAGGAACAAGCCGCTGACACCCAGGGCAATGGGGATGGGGCTCAAAAACATGATTCTTAGTGAAAACAACCAGTTACAAAGATCCCATGCTGCGTGTCTCCACTGACACGACCTTCCGAGACAACAGTGTGACAGGGATGGAAGGTGCATCACCAGTCAGCTGGGTGTGGTGGGGAGGATGGGACTCCAGCAAGCGGGGTGCCACTCCTCGGCATCCTGACTGTGGGACCTCACATGTGTGAAAATTCTCAGACCTAAACACCTCTTTAAAGTGAGATCAGATGGGGAAATAAGACTAACTTTTTTGGCCATCTGTTTTATGTAGGCACCTCATATAGAGTGGTGACCCTTGAACAACATAAGTCTGAATTACATGGGTGCACCTACATACAGATTCTTTTCTTAAAAATTTTTTAAATGAAATCTTCTTAGATAGATACAGGGTCTCCTTATGTTGCTTAGGCTGGTCTCGAATTCCGGGACTCAAGTAACTTCCCACCTTGGCCTCTGAAATTGCCGGGATCATAGGCATGAACCACCACACCTGGCCCGGGTTGTTTTCAATAAATATATTGAAACATCTTTTGGAGATTTGTAACCATTTGAAGAAACTTGTAGATGAACCTTGTATCCTAGAAATATTGAAAAAGTTAAGAAAAATGTATGTCATGCAAAAATTAGCTGGGCATGGTGATACATGCCTGTAATCCCAGCTACTCAGGAGGCTGAGGCAGGAGAATTGCTTGAATCAGGACTTAGGAAGTGGAGGTTGCAGTGAGCCAAGATTGCACCATTGCACTCCAGCCTAGGTGACAAAGCGAGACTCCCTCTCAACAAAAAGAAACAAAAAGAAAAAGGTATGTCATGAATATGCATAAAATCTATGTAGACACTAGTTTATTTTTATCATTTACTACCATAAAATATACAGAAATCTATTATAAACAGTTAACATTTATCAAAAGTTATACACACAAACACAGTACATGGTGCTATTCAGCCCAGAGAAACATAAACAAACGTAAAGATGCAGTATTAAGTCATAGCTGCACAGATTAATGGGAGCGCACTGTACTACTGGAGTAATTCTGCCGCCACTCCTGCTACCATTGCAGTGAGCTCATGTAGAGAGTGTTCACTTCAAATGCCATGTGACACTAGCCATCTCCATGTGAGCACCTGTCTCTCCTGTAGATTGTTTATCACAGTGAAACATGATTCATCGTGGTTCTCATGTATTTTTCATGTTTAGTGCAATACTGTAAACCTGAAGAACACAATAGAATGCATACAAAGTGCCACTGATGATGCCGGAAGTGCTCCCAAGAAGCAGAGAAAAGTCTTGGCAGTACAAGCAAATGGTGGATTGATTGACATGTGCTGTAGACAGAGGCCTGCAACTGCAGTTGCCCAGAACCCTTAGAAAAAAGAAAAAAAGTAAAAAAAGGAAATTCTCAATGTCATCACTGCAGCCATCCAGCAGATGTGAAACCTTGATCTTTTTGCCAAACATGTTTTTATCTAGTGCAGTTTTTGGCGGGATGTAGTAGCTCATCCCTTCGGGAGGCTGAGGCAGGAGAATCATGTGATCCTAGGAGGTGAAGGCCTTGTCTGGAAAAAAAAAAGGGAGGGGGGAGAGAAGAAGAAAGGAAAGGAAGAGAGAGAAAGAGAGAAAAACGCAGCTTTGATGTGAGTGCAGGATATCTATAAGAAAATCACATGTATAGACCCTAATGCAATTCCAGAAAAACTGATGTCATGACAACTTAAAGCAAAGGATGGTGGAGGATAATGGCTTAAAATTATGAGACCTACAAATCTGGAGAGGCTAAAGTACAGTGGCACAATCATGACTCACTGCAGCCTCGACCTCCCGGGCTCAAGCAATCCCCCACCTCAGCTTCCCAAGTAGCTGGCACTGCAGGTGCATGCCTCCGTGCCTGGCTCATTTTCAAACTGTTTTTGTAGAGACGGGGTCCCACTATGTTGCCCAGCTGACCTTGAACTCTTGAGGTCAAGCAATCCTCCCACCTCGGCCTTCTAAAGTGCTGAGATTATAGGCATGAGCTACTGTGCCAGGCCAAGAGCTGCATTTTATTTATTTATTTATTGACAGAGTCCAGCTCTGTCACCCAGGCTGGAGTGCAGTGTTGCAATCTCAGTTCACTGCAACCTCTGCCTCCCAGGTTTAAGTGATTCTCCTGCATCAGCCAGCCGATTAGCTGGGACCACAGGCACATGCCACTGCATCTGGCTAATTTTTGTATTTTTAGTAGAGATGGGATTCACCATGTTGGCCAGGCTGGGCTCAAACTCCTGGTCTCAAGAGTCAGACCCCAAGCCTGACTCCGACTGTGTCCACAGGAAGTCCAGCCCCAACAGTGCCCTCGTTGCCTTTGAGCCAGACCCAAGACAAGGGGAGAGCCTTGAGTTTGTCTCCCCTCAGACCGCAGGATTGAGCCTGGAGAGAGAAGTCGCTTGACTGGTGGTGCCACTTGTTGTCAGGACAGTATATGAGTGTTTGGAGACAGCATAGCTGACTCCAGTCCTGCAGCGCTGAGGACCCCTCCAGGCTCCTCTCTCCTGGAAGTGCTGTAGACGCCCGGTGCCCCGTGGTTGATGACACCACCACCTCCTGCCTACCCATGAGGCCAAGTTCCTGTGGCTGGTTACAGGGCATCTGGCCCCTGCCACCCAGGATAGACACACCTCACAGCTGATCAGAGCCCTGGCCCCTGGGGACTCTTAAGAGCCCCACAGCCCTCCAGGTCCTCCAGCTGTGTCAGATGGAGGGCTGTCAGGGTGTGGCCTGGGTCTGGATCCCACTGGAAGGCCTGATGGCTGGCAGCACAGTGTGTGCTCTGGGAAGGAACAGCTGCCCTAGCCACAGAGGGATCCTGCACCTCCTGACACCAGCCTAAATCCTGACAGTGGGGTCTGTCCTCTGAGAGTGGGAAGCCTCTAGTCCTTTAAGGTCGGCTGCTAGGGCCTGTGCTCCAAAGCAAGGGGCAGGGGCAGCCTGCAGCTGCCCACCCAACCTGGTCTTCATGCCACATTGCACAGGACACTGGATCTCTTCTATCCTCATGGAGAAGAGGGGTTCCTGCCCAGGATCATACAACACATCAAATAGCATAGCACTCCTTTCTTCTCCCACCTCATTTTATTTTGGTTGGGGTCATGGGTTGTTTCTTTGAGATTTACGTTTTTATTTTTGAGGGGTTATCACCTTCAAGTAAAACAGTAAGAGTGAAGGTACTTTGGAACCGCTAACACCTCTGCACAGGGCAGTTAGCCAGCTCAAGTTCTTTTTCAGAGAAAGGGACTTGGCCAGTGCTTTGAGTACCTCCGCTTCACCTCACGGACAAGGCAGCTGGCCCAGTCTGGGGAGTCTGCCCAGGACAGTGGTGGAGGTGGGTCTTGAACCCCAATCTGTACCTAAAAGTCTAAGGGAAATGCATCATTCTTAAAGGGGCAACAGTGACACCATCCCTGTACTCCTGGGTCCTTGTCTTACAGTGCCTAAGGCATGGCATGGTGGCAGCTGGCCCCTCCCCCAACCAGGTGACTCTGGGGACAGAGGTGGACTTTGTTTAGGAGGGGGGTCAGAGCACGCAGCCAAATTGCTCCTCAACCCTAGACAAAGCCTTTGGCCAAAATGGAGGTGCTGTTAGCTGGGCAGCCCTTCTGGGTTTCAGAGACTGGCGTTGGCTCCAGACTGGTCTCATCTACATTGCCTTAATGACAAGTGGCCCAGGAGTACCCATGCACAGAAAGTGTGGGATGTGGGCATCTTCAGATGTTCTGGTAAAATTGTGAGATTAGCTGTATGAAGGAAACCAGTGGGAGGAAAGGAAGTTCTCAGGATGGCGAGATGTGATTCACACACAGTGCACATGCTGGTAGGTCTGTCACCGGGCAGTGGCCTTCATGGAGAGTGGTACCAGCACCTCAGTCCATCCAAGATGTTTAGCAATGCTCAGTCTCTGGTCCCAGAGGATGGCTTCTCAGGGCATGCTGCAAGTTAAAGGTCACCTGTCTGGAAGATGAATGAGAAAGCTGCCCATTCTCAAGACCCATCTGCCTAGGGAGGGTCACAGAGGCAGGATGTAAGCCTCAGGGTGTGGCATTCGTGCACAAGTCATGAAAATCAGGCTAGAGAGAGAGCCTGGACATCAGGGACTTCTGCCCACAGCACATGGCACCCACAGCTGCCCAGCCTGTCCACATGCTGGGATCCAGCACAGCCCCTGAAGCCACGTGGGAAAGTGGGCCTTGTTCACTATAGCCACAGGGGGATGAAAGGGGCCTTGGGCTTTGCAGAGATGTTATATATATTTTGTTTGTAATGAGCCATTCTCCGTAAATTCTCACTGTAAAATGACAAAAAAAAAAAAAAGGCCTAGCAAAGACCTCATTCACTTTTAATCTCCCTCATTTTTCAGTTCATTCTCTGCTTATTTTCTGGTCAGCCCATGACCCCATATGTCAGTGGACGGGTGATCAATTTGCCACCTCAGGGCTCTGGGTGGTCTGCTACCTCCGAGGCTGGGGCGGCCTCCATGGCCTCCATAGTAATGGCCCCATGGGTGTCTCTGCCAAGTGGGAAAGATGCAGCCTGCTGGCCCACTGCCTCATCCCCAGCGTCATGGAGGGACCCTGGCCACTGAGGACAAAGGCCCTGGGTGCTGGCCTGCAGGGCAGCGGGCACCAGTGAAATCCCATTCTCTGGCTGGATACACAGATGGTCTCAAATGAGAGAGACGCTGTATCTGGTACCAAAAGAAGATTGGAGCATACGATCAGCAGATATGGGAAAAGTCAACTGAACAGACTCGGATTAAGGGTTTCAAAAACAAACCAAAAAAGATGGGCTAAACAAAGCCAGACTTGACTGATGTTGACTTAATCAGAGGCTCAACATTTGCCAAGGCAAAACCTGAAATTCCATGGACACCTCTGACTCGGAAGGGGCTTGTTCAAGTTGTATTTTTTCCATTGTTCAGCAATTGGTGGATTCAGGTTACCTCTTTAAGAATCTTTGTTTGGCTGTTACTGCTTTATTTCATGCAAGTTATAGCAATTGTCTTATATTTGATGATGCCTACTGTGAACGTAAATGAAGTACTTGGATGCCTGTGTCTTATGCTACTCATGGGAACTGTCCACTGTCAGATTGCTTCTACTCAGTTAGCAAGCCCATCAGGAAACAATGGAAATCGGAGAAAACGAAAATTAGGAAAAACTGTAAATGGCAATGGGAGCTGAGAAAATGGAAATAACTCCTCTGATAAAGTCAGAGGAGTAGAAACTTTGGAATCTGTACCCGTTATTGGTGGTTTTGGGGAGACTATCTTTGGCAACAGGATTAAAAGAGTAAATTCATATCTCATAAAGGGGCTGAAACTGACAATGACCCAAGTTGTGTCCATCCTATCATTAAGAAGAGACAATGTCGACCAGAGATTAGAATGTGGCAAACAAGAGAGAAAGCAAAATTTTCAGATGGAGAAAAGTGCCGTAGGGAGGCTTTCCGGTGTTTGGGTAATGGAGAATCTTATGACGTGTCAAGTGAGGAAGATGGAGAAGCACAGACACAGATGATACTATTGTGTAGGAGTGTGGAAGGGGACAAGTGACAATGGTTGTGGAGTTAAGGATAGAAAATCAGTACTTTCAAAGCACCTAAACTCTCAAGTAAAGAAAACCACTACAAGGTGGTGTTATCTTGTGTGGGAATTAAATAGTCTGGCGGAATCAGAATTTGAATCAGCAGCCTTCAGCCAGGGCTCTAGATCTGGTGTGAGTGGTGGCTCTCGAAGCCTCAACATGTCAAGAAGAGATTCAGCACCCGCCATGACTCGGAGACTGAGGATATGTTATGGGATGACCTGCCACATGGCCCAGGGTGCCAGTCTTCTGCCACCAGTGATAGTGAGAGGGCGCATATAAGTACCCTTCACTCAGAACAAACATGACCCCAAAGAGGATGTTTTTCAGCAGAACCATTTATTCTGGCTTCAGAGCTCAAGCCCTGCCTCTGTTTGAGTTAGAGCAATAATCTGGGAAGGGAATGAGTGCAAAAAGATGGATATGTCTGTGTTGGAAATAAGTGGCCTCAACATGAGCAGAGTCAGTGCAAGCAAGGAGTAGGTTATCAGACGCTGGAAAATGTTGTCACTATTGGATGAGTATTTTTTCCATTCTTACATCGACTTTTCCGTGAGAAGAGCCTTGGCCAACTGAAGTCCATTTCAGCTGAGGACATCTTGACTCTCTTTTGTGGGGCATCACCTGTTACACCTGTTATTGATTTGTCCATAATTAATGTTTTTTGAAAGATTGTGTATTATTTGGATTTTTTGTCATGATGTGTGTGGCAGAGAGAACATATAAACAGGTCAGTGGAGAAATAAGTAAAATTTTTTACCTCTGTTTTTGTATATGAAATTCCATTCAGTTGTTTTTTGTCTCTTCATTTGGTCTCTCTTCAAGTTGATGTGGGCAATAAAGGATTGATAAGTGGGAAAAAATTTATTAAATGCTTTTAAAATTATGCCTATACATTTGGTAAATGATGATGAAGAATACTTAACAATCAATATTTAAGCATGCCAAATAATAAAACTTTTCCCAACTTTTAAAATTATTTTAAAAAATAAACCAATTTATATTGGACATTTGGGTTACATGTGCATATAAAAACAGTCATATTCCTCAACTGACCATAGATAGACTGGCATACAAGTGTCCTTCTTTCTGGATGTAATTAAGTTTTAGTGGCAGTGGTTCAGAGGGTAGCAAATGAGCTGACCTCTCCATGAAGTAAATTCGACAAGAATCAAGAAGTATTAAAGATGCTAACGATTGATTCCATAAATCTTTCTTTCTTCTCTATCTTTTCAGTATATAGGTGTGCACTATGGGTGTCTATAAATTAAAACACTTTTAATCTAGACTGTGAGCTTCTATGAAAGGGGCTACTGTCAATCCATAAAAGGCACTGGGGAAGTGAGAGGTAGCTCAGGGGAGCAGAGGGCACCTGCCCTCCATCAGGCCAACCATGCAAAGCTACTGAACAGGTAGACTTGATTATCTAAGTCTCAATGGGCTTAGATGTTGACCTGGGCCTTCAAGTGAGGTTTTCCTTTATTATGTTTTATGTTGTTTGTTCGACTATTTTTGTAATTGGGGCAAAGTGAGATGTTCAACTAGTCTAAAAATGCTTAATATACACCATAAACTGTCTGAATCAAAGGTTTTTATTTAATCTTCTGCCAAACACAACTGATTTCCATCTACAATTATTTATTTATTTATTTATTTATTTTTAAATAGTTTATTTAAAAAATCTAATTACAGTATCAACACATGCTTATTATAGTAAGTTTGGAAAAGATAGAAAAACAGAATAAAGAACATAAAAATCACCAATAATTCCAGGACCCAAATATAACCATTGTTAGCATTTTGCTGTAAACTTCCTCATTCTTTTGTTTTCTATGCACATGTATAAACATAAATGCTTTAAACAAACCTCAGAGTTTTCCACATAAAGAGTTATGTATCCTGTTTTGAAATCTGATATTATAAAATGTACAATTTCCTATGGCACTAGACATCCTACAAAATCATGATTTTTTAATGGCTGTGTTATAGTCCACCAGAGACATCTTACTTATTCAGAACATTCTTACTCAAACATCACTGACATTTTTTCTAATTATTTTTCTTGTGAACAATCCCAAGAGATGATATTATTAAATCAAAGTGTATAAACATTTTTAGGCTCCTGACTTACACTGCTTAACTGCTTCCAGAAAGACAATACCATTTTAAATTAACTGTGCCATATATGAAATATCTCACTAAAGAATATTCTTTTGTAAATAATTTTTCCCTCACTGAAAAATTAAAATAATATATAAGTAATTAAAATTAAAATCCATTTAAAATGATGACTACCTTAAAATCTGAGCAAGATCTGACATAAGCTGACTTCCTTAGAGACTCAAGCAAGCAAATTTAGTTATGGAAGCACCAATAATAGTCATATGGAAAGGATCAAAAAAATATTGTAACACTGTAACTAGTATCATTTTTATCCAAACAGGAAAATAGAACAGTACTCTTCATATTCTTATTCAAAGAAATTGTGCTTAAATATTCCATTCAAGGAATATTGTAAATAGAAATTCTGGGATGCCAGGGAAAGAAATCCAAAAGACAGTAAAATGCAACACATTCAGATCTTAAGAAAAATGCAAAATAAAGGTGCAAATTGGGTTAACTAGAAGATAAGAGGCATCTTTACACGGTACAGTACCTGATTAGAACTGGCTTTTTCAAGTCTGTCAATCATAATTTCCAATTGCAAAGGCTTAATTTCCATCTTTCTGTTGTCTATTTAATAAAGTCTCATCTTCTGAATCCATATCATAATCTGGTTTTTCGTTGACTAGATTAAAATGCTGAACACGAATGAACTGTTTTGGCTGTTTAAGCTCTCCTTTGTACAAGCGATTGTAATAGTTGACTTTGCTCTCTGCCTCAGGAACAGGAATGACCATGCTCTCTTTTTTTTTCTCTAAACACTTGCTGTGCTGAAATCGCTCGCTGTAAATGATGTTCCGATTCCTCCTTCTTTTCCATCCCGGTGGGCATCTGGGGCACCGCCCGGTTGACGTAGACGCAGTCGTTGAGATCAGGCATGTCCTGGCCGCGGTAGATAGGCAGCAGTTTGGCGGCGTCCAGCGCTGGCGCTCGGAAGGAGAGTTTACTCACTGTCTCCCGGCCTTACAGGAACTGCCCGGGCGGCGGCGGCGCAGGGAGCCGGGGAAGACTCCAGCCGCCTCCTCCACCTCCTTCCTCAGTGCAGCGCAGCCGGCCCGCTCCTCACTGCCCCCGCATGGGCGCCCACCCCGCCAGAAAACAGTCCCCCGCCGCCCGCGGCCGCTTCCACACACTAGATCGGCCCCTCGCCCGCCCGATCCGCTCCCTGCGCCATGGTCAACACGGCGGACATTCCATCTACAATTATTTTTAAAGGTAAGAAACAATGTGTCAAGTGAACAAAGAGCTGGGGCTTTGGGCTCTAGAACATTATGACAGACCGAGAAATGCAGGGCCTCAGGGTGGGGTCTTGTCAGGCTGGCCCCAGCAGGGCACGAACCTGCCTCACTGGGCCTTCTCCAAGAACGCTCTGCAGCACCTGACACATTGCTGGTACACCGTCTCAAAGTCAGAGTCATTCCCATAATAGGGATTTTCAATAATAAGTTGTTTTTGTGGATCATACCTCCCAAGTAGCTCAATTGCTGCTTTGCGGGTTTTAACTTGATTACTTTTTCTATTCAACTCTCTCAGATTGCTGTCATCCATACATAGTATGGTTGAATTTTTTTTTTTAAGGCTTTGCCAAAGAGTAACCTGTTTATTTCACTTAAATTCTTTAAAATACTTATTTGGCAGTTGTCACATAAAATTTCCTAATGTAAAAAAAAAGAAAATTCATTAGAAAGAAAAGCATGAAAACACAGACCCAAAATGTTAAGATTTTATTTACAAAGCTTTTTTGTTGTACAGAAAGTAAAAGTGCTACAGTCTCGGTGTAACTGGTAGCCTCAGACGGTTGACTTACCAATCACAGCTATCCATGCTACAGCAAGAGTCTTACACAAAACCTAACAATGTTTACAGTTTTGTTGGGGTGACGTCCACAAGCTTGGTGGTACATTACCAAGAGGGCCCACATGGAAGGAAAGCAGAATGTCACAGGAACTATTCTTTGGCTTTTGGGTGGGTGAGTGTCCTGGGGTTTGTATCACAGCTACTTTTTTTTTTTTTTTTTTTTTTTTTTGACAGCTACCAAATCCATGAGCAGTCCAACCAATACTGAACAGTTCTGTTCCTGCAGGTCATCTGGATCCTTAATCATCTTCTCCTTCATCTTGTTTCTCTTCTCCTCTTTTCACCTTTCTCACCTTCTTCCTCCTCTTCATCCTGATCTTCATCTTCTTCAAGTCCAAATTCTTCTTCCTCCTCACTGACATCGTCATCATCATCCCCTTCTACATCTTCAACTTCATCACCTTCA